CATGCAGCAGCCGAGACCCTGCTTCATCTCACTCACCCTCCCTCTCCTCCTTCCCCTTTCACCCCTCTTCCTCCTGTTGTTCTGCTGCCACGTGGCAGGGGGAAGATGAGGAAGAGGAGGACACCGACAAGGGGAAACGCCCAGAAGCAGCAGGGGGGGCAGCAGAGCCCGCCGTGTTCGCCCGGGCGCACCTGCGATCCGAGAACCAGGAGGCGACTAAGGAGGAGCTGCGGCGGCAGCACCAGGCGGAGCTGGCGAAGCAGAAGATCGAGGAGACGGCGCGAAGGCTGGCGGCGGGGGGCCTGGGGGCGCGGGAGGGTGAGGGGGCGAAGAGACAGACGGGGGATCTGGTGTCGTATGGGGATGTGGACGAGATCCCACTTGCCATGAAGGACTACAAGATCCAGGTAAGGGGGTCCATGCAAAACGGAAGGGTTTCTCCTTCCTGCTACTGAAGCACGGACCGGGCAAGTAAGGGGGGCGAGGGTGGGGTGGGGAGGAGGCAGCACCAGGCGGAGCTGGCGGAGCAGAAGTTGCAGGGGACGGCCAGGCGGCTGGCGGGGGGTGGACTGGGGGCGCGGGAGGGTGAGGGGGCGAAGAGACAGACGGGGGACCTGGTGTCGAATGGGGATGTGGACGAGATCCCCTTGGCTATGAAGGACTACAAGATCCAGGTGCAATAAGTTTGCTTGATTTGATCAGCAACGCCACCAGCCAGCAGAACGGCAGCAGGCACATCTACATCCGCTCTTACATCTTCCTCCTCATCCCCTTATCCCCTCAACCCTTCAAACCTGAACACACCCCCCCCCCCCCCCCCCCCCCTCCCCTTATCCCCTTCTCCCCACTCCACTTCGTCAGGTCGATCAGAGGCACGAATCCGTCCTGCTGCCGATATACGGCCTGCTGGTGCCCTTCCACGTGTGCATGATCCGCAACGTCACCAGCCAGCAGGACGGCGGCCACATCTACATCCGCATCATCTTCAACGTGCCGGGGGCCGGCTTCAGCGGGTCCGACCTGCCCATGCAGAAGTTTCCGGACAGCGTTTTCATCAAGGAGCTGTCTTTTAAGTCGACGGACTCAAGGCACGCCAACCAGGTACCACATATGCAGGTAGCATATACCGAGGTGACAGGTGCGGTGCTTGCTGGATGACATGCCTTCAGCGGGTCCGACCTGCCCATGCAGTTTCCTGCCCATAACACAGACTCTGGTAACACATACTCTGGTAACACAGGCTCTGGTAACACAGACTGTGGTAACACAGGTCTTGATCAAGGAGCTGCCTTTCAAGTCCACGGACCCTCCAGACGCTTGAATCAAGTGGGCATGGCTTGATTCAAGTGGGCATGGCTTGATTCAAGTGGGCATGGCTTGATTCAAGTGGGCATGGCTTGATTCAAGTGAGCATGGCTTGATTCAAGTGGGCATGGCTTGATTCAAGTGGTCATGGCTTGATTCAAGTGGTCATGGCTTGATTCAAGTGGGCATGGCTTGATTCAAGTGGGCATGGCTTGATTCAAGTGGGCATGGCTTGATTCAAGTGGTCATGGCTTGATTCAAGTGGGCATGGCTTGATTCAAGTGGGCATGGCTTGATTCAAGTGGGCATGGCTTGATTCAAGTGGGCATGGCTTGATTCAAGTGGGCATGGCTTGATTCAAGTGGGCATGGCTTGATTCAAGTGGGCATGGCTTGATTCAAGTGGGCATGGCACACCCTGGTGATTCTTTTGCTCTTTGATTCCAAGCTTTGACACACCAGGGGTATGCCTTGATTCGTCGGTACCCCTGATGTCCATTTTGTGCTTCTCTTGAACCTCTCCTGCCCGTGTTTCTGCTTTGCTTATCACAAGCACTCCAGTTTTGAGGTGCCTAACAAAAAAAACTCGCTGTCAAAACGATTCATGTTTCTCTCTTGAACCTCTCCTGTCCGCTTTTCTGCTTTGCCTATCGCAACGCAAGCGCTTCCTTTTACCACAATTGCCATCACCAGACTCAAGATGGGTCAACTGATCAAGGCAGTGAGCCGGCAAATGGAACCAAACGCCAAACTGGACGCATATGGCGTTTGAGTCCTCTCAAGAGCTATCTGCCTTTCTCCTACCCCTGCCACAATCACCCCCTGGGTTTTCTCTCTCACGACAATCACCAGGTGGTGCAACTGATCAAGACCATGAGCAAGCACATGCCTCATGATACATTTATCCCCCCCCGCCCTCCTCCCCCTCGTTACAATCACCAGGTGGTGCAGCTGATCAAGACCATGAGCAAGCATGTGCGGCAGCGCGAGTCGGAGCGCGCCGAGAGAGCGACACTTGTCACGCAGGAGAAGCTCCAGCTCAGCAAGGGCCGCCCGCCGCGCCTCCCGGATCTTTGGATCCGGCCGTCGTTTGGTGGCAAGGGGAGGAAGCTCACAGGGTCGCTGGAGGCACATCTGAACGGTTTCCGATACTCCACTGCTAAGGTGGGTTGTCCAGGTGTATTTTTAGTCGACTCAAAATTTTACCGCTAAGGTAGGTGTGCTGGAGCCGACTTTTGAGTCGACTCAAAAGGCTGCTTGGAAGCACATCTGAACGGTTTCCGATACTCCACTGCTAAGGTGGGTTGTGTGGTGGCATGTGGTGGCATGTGGTGGCATGTGGTGGCATGTGGTGGCATGTGGTGGCATGTGGTGGCATGTGGTGGTGTGCAGTGTGTTGTGTGTCTTTGGTTGCTGCCTCTGTCTGCCTTTAAGGCGCCTTAAAGAAAGGGCAACCCTCCCCCTCCTTCCTAGCCCCCCTTCCTTCCTCGCCCTCCGAATTCGTCATCGTCGGATGAAAGCATCCTCCCCCTCCTTCCCCCCTCCCCCTCCTTCCCCCCTCCCCTTCCTTCCCCCCTCCCCTTCCTTCCCCCCTCCCCTTCCTTCCTCATTACCAGCCGGACGAGAGGGTGGAGTTGATGTACGGTAACATCAAGCACGCCTCTTTTCAACCAGCCGAGAACGAGATGATCACGCTGCTGCACTTCCACCTCTTCCCTTCCCCCCCTCCCCCCCAACCCCGCCCTCCCCCCTCCCCAAACCCTTCCCCTCCCCGCCTTACCAGCCGGACGAGAGAGTGGAGGTGATGTTGTACGGTAACATCAAGCACGCGTTCCTTCAGCCGGCCAAGAACGAGATGATCACGCTGCTGCACAGAGGGCAAAGAGCAACAACCCGCCACCTCTCACCACGCCTTGTCCTCCCCCGCGGCGACTTGAGCACTCCTCATCCTTCTGCTCCCCCTGTTGCTTTCCTCCCCTCCCCCTCTTCCTCCCCTTTCCCCCACAAGCACAGCCAGATGAAAGGGTGGAGGTGATGTTTGGCAACATCAAGCACGCCCTCTTTCAGCCATCCGAGAACGAGATGATCACGCTGCTGCACTTCCACGTCTTCCCTTCCCCCCCAACCCCCCCCCCCTCCCCCCTCCCCAAACCCTTCCCCTCCCCGCCTTACCAGCCGAACGAGAGGGTGGAGGTGATGTACGGCAACATCAAGCACGCGTTCCTTCAGCCGGCCGAGAACGTGATGATCACGCTGCTGCACTCTTCCACCTGCACAACCCCATAATGGTCGGCAAGAAGAAGAAGAAGAAGGAATACGCCGCCTCTCACCTTGCCTCCTCTTTCCTGTGTTGACATTCAACCCCCTTACCCTTCTTGCTCCCTCCTTCCCTCTCCCTTCCCTCCCCCAACCCCCCTCCTCCCCCCACCTTTCCCCTCCTTACCAGCCGGACGAGAGGGTGGAGGTGATGTACGGTAACATCAAGCACGCGTTTTTCCAGCCAGCCGAGAACGAGATGATCACGCTGCTGCACTTCCACCTGCACAACCCCATAATGGTCGGCAAGAAAAAAACCAAAGACGTCCAATTCTTTGCCGAAGTCATGGAGGTGGTCCAGACCGTGGGCGGCTCACGGCGATCCGCCTACGACCCGGACGAGATCGAGGAGGAACAGCGGGAGCGCGAGCGGCGCAGCAAGATCAACCGCGAGTTCAAGTCGTTTGTCAGCGCCGTGCACTCGCTCTGGGAGAAAGATCGGGAGCTCGCGCGGCTAGATCTGGAGTTCGACGTGCCGTTTCGGGAATTAGGGTTCCATGGGGTCCCGCACAAGTCGTCCGCGTTCATTGTTCCAACGGTCAACTGCTTGGTGGAACTGATCGAGGTTCCTTTCCTTGTGGTGACGCTGAATGAGGTGGAGATTGTGAACCTCGAGAGGGTGGGGCTCGGGCAGAAGACCTTTGACATGGCGATCGTTTTCAAGGATTTTAAGCGGGATGTGCTGCGGATTGATGCCATTCCGAGCACGTCGCTGGACTCGGTGAAAGAATGGCTGAACTCGATGAACATCAAGTATTATGAGTCGCGGCTGAATCTTAGCTGGAAGGCGATTCTGCAGAATATTATGAGCGATCCCGAGGCGTTTCTTGCGGACGGCGGGTGGGAGTTTTTGAACCTGGAGGCGTCGGATAGCGAGGGGGATGAGTCGGAGGAGTCGCAGGCGTACGAGCCGTCGGATCTGGAGGAGGCTGCATCCGACGATGACGATGATGAGAGTGAGGACGATGAGAGTGTGGTGGACAGTGAGGAGGAGGGGGGGAGGAGGAGAGTGAGGAGGAGGAGGAGGGGCCGACTTGGGATGAGCTGGAGGCGAAGGCCCTGAGGGAGGATCGGGAGAAGGGAGAGGAGAGCGATAGTGAGGGGGAGAGGAGGAGGAGGAGGAAGGGAGGAGGGGGAGGGGGAGGAGGAGGTGGGGGAGGGGGAGGGGGAGGGAGGCCTGGGGATGCGAGAGGAGGGGGGGAGGAGGGGGAGGGGGAGGAAGCGGGGGGAAGGGGGGATGGAGTGGGCGGCCGGAGGGGAGGCCGTCTATGGGGAAGGGGCCCATGGGAAAGTCCGGGGGGGGAGGGGGGAGACCGATGGGGGGAGGCAGTGGGGGAAGGCCGGGAGGGGGAGGGGGAGGGAGTGGGAGTGGGGGGAGGCCGATGGGGAAAGGGGGGAGTGGAAGGGGCCCCCCTCCGCCCATGGGGAAGCGGCCTATGGGGTCGGGGTCTGGAGGGCCCATGAAGCGACCTAAGTACTGACACTTAGGTAAGTAATAATGTGGAATTATTATTGGGGCAGTTTTGGGCAATGCTTGTTGTAGAAATTGGTTCAGGTTCTGGAAAAGGTGGAGAACTTGTACGTTTTTTTTTTTTTATATCAGGGCGTATTCCTACAAGGTTGGATCCGGCGAAGTTGGATCCATCGCGTGCGGTACAGTGCAGTGCAAGTGTAAAGAATGCGCATATTGTTGTGGTTCGGTTCGGTAATGCATAAGTTTGGATCCAACTTCGCTGGATCCAGCTTCGTAAGAATACGCCCTCAATCCCCTTACTGAATGAACTTTCTCTAATTCAAGTAGAAGCTCGTTTGATTATCTGTCCGATATCCAAGCCCAACCATTGAAATTTCCTATTGTTCCCTCTTGTTTCCATTCCCGTGCTCTCATTCCCCGTGCTGTCAGCTTGTCTCCCAGGCCACTTTTTACTGCTTCTCACCACTTATCGCCAATAATCAGCACGCTTCAGTTTGAGCCCTCCTGTCCTCTGAATCCCCTCCAATCTCTCTTCACCGCTCTGCACCTCTTCAATCTCTACAGAAGACACTCCTGAGGAGGAAGCTGTTCACCTTGCCTCTTTCGCAGGAATGCCCACAGAATCAGCAGCAGCAGCAGCAGCAGCAGCAGCAGCGACAACAGCAACAGCAGCAGCAGCAGCAGCGACAACAGCAACAGCAGCAGCAGCAGCAGCAGCGACAACAGCAACAGCAGCAGCAGCAGCAGCAGCGACAACAGCAACAGCAGCAGCAGCAGCAGCAGCAGCAGCAGCAGCAGCAGTAGGAGAAGGAGACAGCAGCAGGAACTTAGCAGAAGCGGCATTGATGGGGGCAGGAGCAGCCAAAGGGCTACAGGGGATAGGATATCGAGAGATATTTCTTGCCTTTGAGGCCACGTGTGTTGTTTCATTCTCATTGCGCTGTTGCCATTTGCTCTCGTGGTTGAATAAAGAAACCCATTGTGATCAAAAAAACATTTTTTCTCCTTTTCTCCTTTCCATGCTGTCTTTCCCCCTCCTTCCCTTGGACCCCCCCCCCCCCCCCCCCCCGGCTCTCCCCTCCCTCCCTCCCTCTCCCTTCTCCCCGTCACTTCCTTCCTCTCCCCGTTCCCCCCCCCTCCCCCCCCCTCAATGGTCGGCCTTTTACCTTTCAAGCATTCCTCGGATAACTCTCCCTAAGCCACTGAAACTGACTTGTGAGGTGGCTTTAGCATGCGCATTCTCCCCTACCAAAGCGCCACCAAGATCGGCTCCCTGCAGCAACTTTTACCGCCTCCTAGTGATGAGGCCTGTCATCCTGCCCTCCTCCTGCTCAGATCATCTCTCACTCCCCCTGCCACTCTGCCTCTCAGCACCTTGCCAGTGGCGGCTGGAACCAGGCTGTACCGAAGTGCCGTGGAAGATGCTGCCCGGAAGAACCAATACATGCCTGCCCGGTGTCCGATGCTGTCCGTGCAAACAGTGTGTACAGTACGTAATTCCCTAGGGGACTGGACATTTTTTGCCAGACCCCCCAGATATTTCGCTATTGCCGTTTGTCTCTAATGGGCCGCCGTGCTGCCTGATCTCTTGGGCAACCGTTTTTTGAATGCCCATGCGACAAATCACTGCCTTTTGTGGTTACCGTGTGTGGCTAGAAACACCAGGCCCCCGTAGAGGAGGTGATTTTGAACGAGCGTCGAAGAGTCTTCGCGGGGGAATTCGCGAGATTCGTTACTGCTAGGGCTGAAAGGACGAGAATCTTGGATTCAGTCTGACGAAAGGCGGATAATGTCGCTTTGCTCGTCGCTAGTGTCGTCGTCAGCGCGGACGCAACACCGAGCCTCCAGCCCAGCCCGAAGTCGCGGCTGGAAAATGAGTGGATGTGCTCGACAGGCCAGCGGATTTTACTGACGCAACGCCGCCAGACCTCTCCCAAACCAACCTCACTGCTATGATTTCCAGGTTCGCCCCAAAACCTCCTCCCCAAAATCCTCTGACCACAAGCAGCCGATAAAAAAAACTGCCGTCTCTGTTCTTTCTCATTGATGCTTCTGGCTGCTTTATGCGACCACTTGCCACAAGGAGCGTGGCGAAGAATGGCGTAGGACAATTACCCATATTGAACTATTCTTCAGAGCCTCTCCGAGGTCCAATCTGGATTTTTAACGAGTGACTTTCACAGGGGTTCTGGAAAATATACGAGTGTGCTTGGGCCGGGTTCCGTAAGAATCAGAATGCCCCTGTGGCCCAATCTGGAGAAATTTCATCCCCATCCCCCCCCCACCCCCCCAACCAACCCCCCCTCCCAGCACACCGCTCTCCCCCCCTTGTACTGTCAACCAAGGCAATCTCTCAAACGGGATGAGCTGCCCCCCCTTTTCCCTTTGTGCTGTCATCTCTCTCTTCCCTCACTTGTTGCTACCACTCCAGTATTTTGCTAAACGGGATGAGCTGTCTTAGCATGTCATAGGTGCAGATTCACACAGCACAGGGGAGAAACTCTGTCAGAGTAACTCCGAGCCTTGATTCCGGATTAAACAGAATTCACCAGCCCCCCAACTCAGACGAAAAAGAGTGGGAATGGGGGGAGAGCCCGAGAGAAACAGACCCTCCCAAATCCTTAGTGTAGGCCCCGAGTCCCTGACATGAACCTGGCGCTGATCGCCTGCGGCGTCATGGTTGAGATTAGACGCAAAGGAGCTCGTCGCAGCATTCCATTCCTACTGCGTGCTTCCTACCTACGATAGTTTTGTCACGAAGGCCAGGTATTGGAATCGCACGGGAATTTGTCGCCCTACCCTCGACCCCTCTGATCCGTCCAAGCGCCGTGCAGCCATCGCCCGGCAGTTTCTGTTCGCAGAGCGATTCCAGATTCCAGAAGCCTCGTCCTCTCTTCGATCACATGCAAGCGTCCCCAGAGTTGTCTCTTCGGGCCGAGATATCCCTAGAGGTCGAGTAATCCTTAGAGGTCGACTCGAGTCATCCCTCAAGTTTTTCCCCCGGGAGTTATCTCTTGAAGTTATCCGTTTCTAGAGTCGCCTCTGTCGTCGTGTCACGGTGGGAATAAATTCAAATTTTGCCGGAGGTTGGGTCAGATGCACCAGGTGCGATCGCAGCAGCCGCCGCCGCATTCCACGGCAATGGCGTCGAAGGCGCTGATGATGGACAACGACGTGCTCAGCGGCGCGCAGGTGCGTCTTGCGACGTCGCAAACCCTCCTAGGCAGTAGTACCTTGATCGTTGCTAAAACAACGGCATAGATCATCTAACGACGTTCTCAGCGGCGTGCAGGTGCGACTTGCGACGTCGTAAACCCTCCTAGGCAGTAGTACCTTGATCGTTGCTAAAACAACGTCATAGATCATCTAACGACGTGCTCAGCGGCGCGCAGTTGCGTCTTGAGCCGTCGCAACACCTAGCGACGTTCCCATGATCCGATCATCGCAGTAACTACGACGTTCCCAGCAGCGCTCCAGTTTAATTCCTTTTGTCCGCGTTAGTGCATTCATCGTCGCAGTTCATGCGATCACTCGCGCCGTTCATACTTCAGGGTTTAGAATGCGCGTTGTCACGTTTGTTACTCCATTTCGCGACGAGTCAAAACCCGAATTCGTTTCGTTTCGTTTCGTTTCGTGCGAATCTTGCCTTGCTCTGCCACCTCGCCTCTTATCTCGCGGTTTCCGATGTCTTGGGAAAGGGACGTCCTTGAGAAATCTAAAAAAGAACTGTTTCTTTCCTCGTGAAATGCTGCCGCCTTGCTTGGAGACGGCCTGGCGTCGTGAGAAGAATCTCTCTCGCGAGAACCCTAAACCCTTCGGCCCCCCTTTCTCGCGTGTCTGGTCTTCGACGGCGCAACTGAAACTGCCCCTTACCGCACACCCGCTTACTCTCCCCTCCCCCGTACTACCCGCTTACTCTCCCCTCCCCCGCACACCCGCTTACTCTCCCCTTCCCGCGCGTGGTTTTTTAGGAAAGTTGCATTCTCCTCTTTCGCCGCGACATCCCTCCCGCCATCTCCCCTTTCCCCCAACAAAACCCTACTCCGCACCCCCGCCTCCCTTCAACCCGCCTATTTTTCCCACAGGGCCCCGGCCTGCGGTTGCGCCTGCTGCAGTCCCTGCTGACTTACTTCCTCCCAACCACTACCAAAGATCCCGCCGACATGGCGCGGGGTCGGGGAGCCGTGGGGATGCTGCGACCCCTCTCCTCTCAACCTAAATTCTGTTTCACACCACCCCTTCCCCCCCTTCCGCTTCCCCACGGGACCCCCGTCTGCGCCTGTGTCTACTCCAGTCCCTTCGAACCTCCTTCCTCCGAGCGACGCCCAAGGACCCTATTGACATGGGGCGGGTGCGGGGAGCCATGGGTTTGCTGCGCCCCCATTGTTCTTCATCCCCCATCCCCCATCCCCCATCCCCCATCCCCCCGCTCCCCTTTCACTCCACAGGACCCCCGCCTACGCTTACGCCTGCTGCAATCGCTCCTGACCTCCTTCCTCCCAGTCACTCCCAAGGATCCCATCGACATGGGGCGGGTGAGAGGAGCCGTGGGGATGCTGCGGGAGCAGCACGTGTTGGCGGTGGAGCCTGATTGGTCGGCGGTGGGGAGCGGTAATGACCCCAGGCGGAAGGCTGTGGATGCGTGGTGCAGCAGAGTGTTCGCGTTATTAGCTTCCCCGCTGGTAAGTTTCGATTGCTGATTGATACTGCTGGCTTTAGTGCCAAAAGCGGCATCGTCTGACATTGTGTTATGACATCAAATCAACTTTGGAAGCTTATTAAGAACCTCCATTTTTTTGCATCCCGTTCCCACCAATTTCTTGCTAGCTGTCTCCTCTCTCGAGCTCTCTTTTTCATCTCCTCCCCGCCCCCCAGCCAGCCAATCGGTGGGCGGCGTGCGTGCTGGCAGGTGCCACGTGTGCAGAGAGCACGCCTCAGCGCGTGGTTGACACGTACGCCAAGTGGTGGGGGCGGCTAGCCGCCCTGCTGAAGGTGAACAAGACAAAAGGGGGCGGTGGGGGGGCCGGGAAGGGAGAGCAGCAGCAGCAGCAGGAGGAGGGGAAGGAGGAGGGGGAGGAGGAAGAGGAGGAGGAGGGGGAAGAGGAGGGAAAGGAGGGGAAGGAGGGGAGAGGGGACGGGAGAGGGAAGGGGAAGGGGAAGGGGAAGGAGAGGGCGAGTGGGAAGGGCAAGGAGCAGAGTGCACAGCAGGACACGATGTTTGTGCGTGTGGCGGCTGCTGCTGCCCTTGCTGACCTATTCTCAAGGTATGCTTCCTCTTGTTAGTATACCTACGCATACACGTGCACGCACGCACGCACGCACGCACGCACGCACGCACACATGCACGCACATACTCATGCACAAAGGAATGCAAGCGCATGTGTTAGTGTGTCCGCACACATGCAAGTGCTCCCACCATCCACCCTCTCCCCTCCCCTGCCAGGCTGGCAACTTTGTCTCATGTGCAGAGCGTGCGCAAGGAGGCTGGCACTTTGGCTGGCAAGCTTTGGCCGTTTCTGGCGGAAATGATGGGCGGCAGTGAGAGCACGCAGGCATGGGTGGGTGGCACAGACAACTCGTAGACAAGAGAACTGGTTTTTTTCCATCTCTCTTCTACCCTGGTCCTGTCTAATCCTGTTTTGTTTGAGATGTGCCTAGAAGTCATCCCGTCACCTCTTTGGTGCATGCATGCCCATACCCCATACCCCCGTTGCTCGTCTCTCACACACACTTGCGCCTTCTTCTTCTGGTGCCCCTCCCAGAGCGTCTTTTGAGGCTCAAAAGTACCCCATACCCCCGTGCGCCTCAAGTCTCTCTCTCTCACACACACCTGCGCATTCTTCCTCTGGTGCCCCTCCCAGAGCGTGTGCCTCTCGCTTCTCTCGCTGCTGCTTCGCTCCTTCCCGTCAAGCTTCAAGCACCATGTGCCAGCGGTATGCACCTGCCCTGTCCCTACCAACCACCTTGCATCATCACCGTTGCTTGCATCATCACCGTTGCTCGCATCATCACCAGTGGTGCCTACCGTATGTGCGCTGTGCATGTGAATGACATTCGTCTCTCATTCGTCTCTCATTCGTCTCTCATTCTTCTCTCGCCATGGCCGTTCCATATCCACTCTCCATCTCCCCCCTTCTCTGACCCCACTCCCCCCCTGTCCCCCCCCACCCTTCCGCCCCACTTTCTCCCCTGCATGAGGAGTCTATTTCTGAGGCGCCTCAAAAATGGATTCCGCCCCCTCGTTCTCCCCTCCCTCCCCTCGACTCTGTTTTGGCCCCCTCTCTCCCCTCCTCCCCGTGACTCAGATCGAGTCGCTTCTTGTGGCAAAGCTGGCTTCGCCCAACGCACCACCTTCAATTGTTCACGTGAGTCTGGGTGGTCTGAGTTGGGGGAGGGGGGTGGTTGGGGGGGAAGGAGGGGGGGGTTGGGGGGGAAGGAGAGGGGGGGTTGGGGGGGAAGGAGGGGGTGGTTGGGGGGAAGGAGGGGGGGGTGTTTGGGGGTCTGTGCGCCCATCCTCCTCGGCTCTACTCTGCGTGTGGCAAGGCTGGCTTCGCCCAGTGCACCATCTTCAATTGGTCACGTGAGTCTGGTCTGGGTGGTCTGTGGGGGGGGGGGGGGGGGGGGGGGGGGGGGAGGGCGGGGGCCGGGGTAGGGGAGGGGAGGGTCTCAGCCCATGATTGTTGTCGCTCCTGCTTCTCACGCCATCCCCATCCCCGTCCCCATCCCCATCCCCATCCCCATCCCCATCCCCATCCCCATCCCCATCCCCATCCCCATCCCCATCCCCATCCCCATCCCCATCCCCATCCCCATCCCCATCCCCATCCCCATCCCTATCTCTCCATCGCATCCCGTATCTCATGTTGAACCCACCTCTCTCCCCCCCCACACCACTCAGTCCTGCTGCAATCTCCTCGTGCTGCAATCTCCTTGTGCTGCTCCCTCACGACTTGCCACTTTCGTACCAAACCCACTCCCTTCCATCATCCCATGCTGAGCGCCACGCCACTTCCACTCCCCCCCCCCCCACGCCTTTCAGTTGTGCCTCAATCCCTTCGTGCTGCGTGTTGAGTCAACTCAAAACACTTCCACTTCCCCACCACCACCCCCTCGCCCCGCTCAGTCATGCTGCAATCTCCTCGTGCTGCTCCCTCGCGCCTCCGGCGACCCGTCTCTCTGGTCGGCCTTCATGCGCCGCCTGCTGCTGTCCGTCCACGCGGACCTCGACACCCTCCTCTCAGGCTTTGAGGATGGTACGTGGAGGCAGGCTAGTACTGGTGGTGCTGTGGTGCGTGTATTGGTAGCCGTATGCACGGTGGTATCGTGGGTCAAGGGAGGGCCTCCGACTGTCCGTCTCTCTGGTCGGCGTTCATACGCCACTTGCTGCTGTCCGTCCACGCGGACCTCGACACCCTTCTTGCGGGCTTTGAGGATGGTGAGTGCACTGCTCGCTGTGAGTGAAAGTATGTGGGTACGAGTGTAGGCCTTTTAGCGGCCCATCTGTCTCTCTGGTCGGCCGTCATACGCCGCCTGCTGCTGTCCGTCCACGCGGACCTCGACACCCTTCTCAAGGGCTTTGAGGATGGTAAGGGCGCTGTTTTTGAGGCGCCTCAAGAATAGAAACTTCGCCTGCTGCTGTCCAACCACGCGGTTCTCGGTACTTTTCTTGTGGGCTTTGAGGATGGTAGGCGCGCTGCCAGTGGTACTGTTTGAGTGCTGGTAAAGGTGTGAGTGCTGACAGGCCTGGCAAGGGCCTTTCGGCAAAGGCTTTGCGGCAAAGCCCTATCGGCTCTCCTTCGCTGCAAACACTGCATCCCTCCCTCCCCACTCTGCTCATCCCCGCACTCCGCCCGCCATTGGATTGCCACACAGCTGATTTTTCCGCAGCCCCCCTCCCTCCGTATTCCCCCTTTCCCCTGACACGCCTCTGGTTCCTCCCAAGCACCACCACTGGATCGCCACAACAACATCTCCCCTCCCCACTTTGCCCCCCCATGCTCTTTGCCCCCCCATGCTCTTTGCCCCCCCATGCTCTTTGTTCCTACGCGGGGACAGCATCCGTACGGTCCAAGGCCCTGGCAACCCTCCTGCACTCCAACAGCGCATCTCTCCCCACGCCTCTGGTCCCCGAGCACCGCCACTGGATTGCTGCACACTGCACCAAGGAGGCTGAGGGGCAGCAGCAGCAGCAGCAGCAAGACACAGGGGGGCAGGGACACAGTGTAGGGCAGTCGGCAAATCCAAACGCCGCCAGCAGCAGCAACAGCGGCGATGGCGGCAGCAGCAGCAGCAGCGGGGATCCCGAGGCAGTGTTTCGCCGGGTCGTGCCGCGGCTGCACGCGCTGCTGCTGACGTGCCAGCTGGCGATCACCCAGGGGTTCTCCGCTCCGGTAGGTGGGGAGCGGTTGTGAAGGGGGGAGTTGCGGTGGGGTGGGCGGATGGGGTTGCGGGGGGGTGGGCGGATGGGGTTGCGGGGGGGAAATGCTGCGCCTCATGCATTGCTGCTGACGTGCCAACTGGCGATCACCCAGGGGTTCTCGGCTTCGTTCCGTGAGGAGTATGAGAAGGGAGGGGGGAGGGGGGAAGGGGGAGGGGGGGGGAGGGGGGGAGAGAGTGATGGGGGAGTTGGCAGAAATTGATGCTTGCAGCTGCACGCGCTGCTGCTGACGTGCCAGCCGGCGATCACCCAGGGGTTCTCCGCGCCGGCAAGTGGGGATCGGGCTAGTCATCCCCCGCGCTTCTGCCTCACCGCTCCTTTCTCCTCGCTTCGTAACCAATCCACTTCTCCACCCCCCACCCTCCCTTTCCCCCCCCTTCTCCCTCCCAGGTGCCAGCCCCCCTCTCCGCACTGCTGTCTCTCGCCCACCGTCTCCTCTCAGCCGACGCCACCATCCGCCTCACTCAAGTAGAGGGCACAGGGCTCGTCATCCCCCTCTCCCTCCTCGCCTCTGGTACTGGAGGGAGGGGGGGAGGAGTGGGAGGGGGAGGAGGGGATGGAAGGGGAGGAGCGAGGAGTGATGGGCTGGACAGCATGGGCTCGGCGTTTTCTGCCGGCCGCCAGCTGGCTCTGTGTGTGGAGCTGCCGGCGCTGCAGTGTGCTGGGCTGCGGATGATGCTGGCGGTGCTTCAGGGAGTGAGAAAGTGAGTGTGGAGGGAGTGCGAATGTGGGGGCGGAGGGAGGGAGAAAGTGAGCGTGGGGGGGTATGAGGAAGTGAGTGGACAGAATTTGAAACAGTCTTGATTCACCATCGTTCTCTCTCATTCCACTCTGTCCGCCTATCATGAGGAGTCTATTTTTGAGGCGCCTCAAAAATAGATTCCACTCTGTCCGCCTATCAGCCTCTCACTTCTCCTACTCCCTCCTCCCCTCGCATCCCTCCCTCCCCTGCGTCCCTCCCTCCCCCCGCGTCCCTTCCTTCCTCTCTTCCCCCTGACCCCTTCTTCCCCCTCGCATCCCTCCCTCCCCTCGCATCCCTCCCTCCCCCCGCGTCCCTCCCTCCCCTCGCATCCCTCCCTCCCCGCGCACGCACACCAGCCACATCCTGCCTGCCCCATGCTGCGACCATCTCCCACACACTCGTGTCGGCTTTTCGCCGGCGAAAACCAATACGTCTCTTCCTCCCCCCTGACCTGAACCTGAACCCCCCTCCCCTCCCCTCCCCTCCCCTCCCCTCCCCTCCCCTCCCCTCCCTCCCCTCGCATCCCTCCCTCCCCACGCACACCAGCCACATCCTGCCCCATGCTGCGACCATCTCCCACACGCTCGTGTCGGCTTTTCGCCGGCGAAAACCAATACGTCTCTTCCTCCCCCCTGACCTGAACCCCCCTCCCCTCCCCTCCCCTCCCCTCCCCTCCCCTCCCCTCCCCTCCCCTCCCTCCCCTCGCATCCCTCCCTCCCCACGCACACCAGCCACATCCTGCCCCATGCTGCGACCATCTCCCACACCCTTGTGTCGGCCTTTCGCCAGCCAAAACCAATGCGTGCTGACTTTTGAGTTGACTCAAAACCAATGCGTGCTGACTTTCGAGTTGACTCAAAACCAATGCGTGCTGACTTTCGAGTTGACTCAAAACCAATGCGTGCTGACTTTCGAGTTGACTCAAAACCAATGCGTGCTGACTTTCGAGTTGACTCAAAACCAATGCGTGCTGACTTTCGAGTTGACTCAAAACCAATGCGTGCTGACTTTCGAGTTGACTCAAAACCAATGCGTGCTGACTTTCGAGTTGACTCAAAACCAATGCGTGCTGACTTTCGAGTTGACTCAAAACCAATGCGTGCTGACTTTCGAGTTGACTCAAAACCAATGCGTGCTGACTTTCGAGTTGACTCAAAACCAATGCGTGCTGACTTTCGAGTTGACTCAAAACCAATGCGTGCTGACTTTCGAGTTGACTCAAAACCAATGCGTGCTGACTTTCGAGTTGACTCAAAACCAATGCGTGCTGACTTTCGAGTTGACTCAAAACCAATGCGTGCTGACTTTCGAGTTGACTCAAAACCAATGCGTGCTGACTTTCGAGTTGACTCAAAACCAATGCGTGCTGACTTTCGAGTTGACTCAAAACCAATGCGTGCTGACTTTCGAGTTGACTCAAAACCAATGCGTGCTGACTTTCGAGTTGACTCAAAACCAATGCGTGCTGACTTTCGAGTTGACTCAAAACCAATGCGTGCTGACTTTCGAGTTGACTCAAAACCAATGCGTGCTGACTTTCGAGTTGACTCAAAACCAATGCGTGCTGACTTTCGAGTTGACTCAAAACCAATGCGTGCTGACTTTCGAGTTGACTCAAAACCAATGCGTGCTGACTTTCGAGTTGACTCAAAACCAATGCGTGCTGACTTTCGAGTTGACTCAAAACCAATGCGTGCTGACTTTCGAGTTGACTCAAAACCAATGCGTGCTGACTTTCGAGTTGACTCAAAACCAATGCGTGCTGACTTTCGAGTTGACTCAAAACCAATGCGTGCTGACTTTCGAGTTGACTCAAAACCAATGCGTGCTGACTTTCGAGTTGACTCAAAACCAATGCGTGCTGACTTTCGAGTTGACTCAAAACCAATGCGTGCTGACTTTCGAGTTGACTCAAAACCAATGCGTGCTGACTTTCGAGTTGACTCAAAACCAATGCGTGCTGACTTTCGAGTTGACTCAAAACCAATGCGTGCTGACTTTCGAGTTGACTCAAAACCAATGCGTGCTGACTTTCGAGTTGACTCAAAACCAATGCGTGCTGACTTTCGAGTTGACTCAAAACCAATGCGTGCTGACTTTCGAGTTGACTCAAAACCAATGCGTGCTGACTTTCGAGTTGACTCAAAACCAATGCGTGCTGACTTTCGAGTTGACTCAAAACCAATGCGTGCTGACTTTCGAGTTGACTCAAAACCAATGCGTGCTGACTTTCGAGTTGACTCAAAACCAATGTGTCCCTTCCTTCCTCTCACCCCCCTTGAGCTGAACCCCCCTCCCCTCCCCTCTCCTCCCCTCGCATCCCTCCCTCCCCTCTCACCAGCCACATCCTGCCCCATGCGGCGACCATCTCTCACACCCTCGTGTCGGCCTTTCGCCGTTCGGCAGCAGCGGGGGATGACGCCACCACGCTGCCTTTCAAGGCGCTGCTGTACCGCACGGCCACGCAGTACCTCTACACTCTGGGGGCTGGTGAGTTGCATTCCCCAGCATCCCCCAGATGTTACCACTACTCTAGTCCTCTTCGCTGCACTGCCCCTTCCAGGAACTGCTGTACCACACGGCCACGCAGTACCTCAATGCTTTGGGGGCTGGTGCGTTGAGTTGATTGCCATAGAAAGAACCTCCCCTGCTTCACTCAGTGCTGCCCGTCAAGGCGCTGCTCTACCGCACGGCCATGCAGTACCGCTGGGCCTTTTGAGGTTCCTCAGAAGCAGTAGCTGTAGGATGTTTTTGAGAATTCTCAAAAACGCCCTGAAGCAGTACCTGTACGAGCTAGGCGCGGCGCGGTTAAAAAGCTCTTGGCATTGGCGACCACGGTCCACAGTAGGGCCACTTGCTTGCCTTCATGCTTCGAAGAGAGTCCCTACTGTGGACCGTTTTGACACGCCTCAAAACTAGTGTCCACAGTAGGGCCACTTGCTTTGCTTGCCTTCATGCTTCGAAGAGAGTCCCTACTGTGGACCGTGGTCACCTCCACCCTGTAAAGCCCAGGTAGACTGCACCGGACGGCACCACAACTCAGTCTCTCTGTGTCCTACGCGCTGCATGACGGAGGAGATCACCCCCATATCTTTGAATCGCCCCCATATTTGTGGTTTGTGGAGCTCGCCCCCATATTTGTGGGTCTCGGCATAACACTCAACCCCTTCGCCTCCTTTCTTCCCCATCCCTCCCTCCCCCCCCCCCCCCCCCCTCCCCCTCCCAATTTCTTCCTCCCAGGCATGATGACGCAGATTGCCCCCATAGTGGTGGGTCACGGCATCACTGACCTAAAGCAGGCCGTCCCCCCTCATCCCTCCACACGCACACAACACCCCCACCCCACCCCACCCTACCCCCCGCGCCCTCCTTTCCCCCCCTTATAGGCATGATGACCCAGATTGCCCCCATAGTGGTGGGCCGTGGCATCACCGATCTCAAGCAGGCTGTCCCAGCGCTCTTCTCCCCGACCAACCAGCGTTCGCCAGGAGGCAGCATGGCGTTCGACGCCGCTCCCAACGCTGCGGGCGGCAGCGGGAGGGTGGGCGGAGGGGGAGGGGGAGGGGCAGGGGGAGGTGCATCGGGGGCAGGTGTTATTTCGGGCAGCCAGTGCCTGCAGTCTGCTGATCTGCAGATTGCGATTCTTGAAGCGCTAGAGGCACTGCTGGTGGCAGTGAGTGTGTGTGGAGGGGGTAGGGATAGGGGGGAGGGGGGGGGAGTGGGGGTGAGTGTGTGTGGAGTGGGGGAATGGGGTGCGATGGGAGGGGGTGTGGGGGTTGCGGTTGTGGGGGGTGGGTGGGGGGGGGGAGGAAGGGAGGGGTGGGCATCTGCAGCAGTTATCATCTTGGGCGATTTGTGGATCTGCAGATTGCAATACTTGAAGCGCTGAAGGCGCTGCTGGTGGCGGTGAGTGTGCAGGGGGGAGTGTGAGAATGGAACAGAGTGTGAGAACGGGACAAAGTGTGAGAATGGGACAAAGTGTGAGAATGGGACAGAGTGTGAGAATGGGACAGAGTGTGAGAATGGGACAAAGTGTGAGAATGGGACAAAGTGTGAGAATGGGACAGTGTGAGAATGAGACAGAGTGTGGGCAGGGAGTAAAGACGGGAGGGGATGGGGAGGGGGGGGGGGGGAGGGAGGCAGGGAGAACGGCCCATGGAGGTGGGCACATATCTTTGAGATCTCGTTCGTTTATCCCTGCCTGCTGTTCTTCTTACCATTCGCCCTTCTCGTTTCTCATGCATCCACCCCCCCATGCATCCACCCTTCCATGCATCCACCCTTCCATGCATCCACCCTTCCATGCATCCACCCTTCCATGCATCCACCCTTCCATGCATCCACCCTTCCTTGCATCCACCCTTCCATGCATCCACCCTTCCTTGCATCCACCCTTCCATGCATCCACCCTTCCATGCATCCACCCTTCCTTGCATCCACCCTTCCATGCATCCACCCTTCCTTGCATCCACCCTTCCTTGCATCCACCCTTCCATGCATCCACCCTTCCTTGCATCCACCCTTCCATGCATCCACCCTTCCTTGCATCCACCCTTCCATGCATCCACCCTTCCATGCATCCACCCTTCCATGCATCCACCCTTCCTTGCATCCACCCTTCCATGCATCCACCCTTCCTTGCATCCACCCTTCCATGCATCCACCCTTCCATGCATCCACCCTTCCATGCATCCACCCTTCCTTGCATCCACCCTTCCATGCATCCACCCTTCCATGCATCCACCCTTCCATGCATCCACCCTTCCATGCATCCACCCTTCCATGCATCCACCCTTCCATGCATCCACCCTTCCTTGCATCCACCCTTCCATGCATCCACCCTTCCTTGCATCCACCCTTCCATGCATCCACCCTTCCATGCATCCACCCTTCCTTGCATCCACCCTTCCATGCATCCACCCTTCCTTGCATCCACCCTTCCTTGCATCCACCCTTCCATGCATCCACCCTTCCTTGCATCCACCCTTCCATGCATCCACCCTTCCTTGCATCCACCCTTCCATGCATCCACCCTTCCATGCATCCACCCTTCCATGCATCCACCCTTCCTTGCATCCACCCTTCCATGCATCCACCCTTCCTTGCATCCACCCTTCCATGCATCCACCCTTCCATGCATCCACCCTTCCTTGCATCCACCCTTCCATGCATCCACCCTTCCTTGCATCCACCCTTCCTTGCATCCACCCTTCCATGCATCCACCCTTCCTTGCATCCACCCTTCCATGCATCCACCCTTCCTTGCATCCACCCTTCCATGCATCCACCCTTCCATGCATCCACCCTTCCATGCATCCACCCTTCCTTGCATCCACCCTTCCATGCATCCACCCTTCCATGCATCCACCCTTCCTTGCATCCACCCTTCCATGCATCCACCCTTCCTTGCATCCACCCTTCCATGCATCCACCCTTCCATGCATCCACCCTTCCATGCATCCACCCTTCCATGCATCCACCCTTCCTTGCATCCACCCTTCCATGCATCCACCCTTCCTTGCATCCACCCTTCCATGCATCCACCCTTCCATGCATCCACCCCTTCCTTGCATCCACCCTTCCATGCATCCACCCTTCCTTGCATCCACCCTTCCTTGCATCCACCCTTCCATGCATCCACCCTTCCTTGCATCCACCCTTCCATGCATCCACCCTTCCTTGCATCCACCCTTCCATGCATCCACCCTTCCATGCATCCACCCTTCCATGCATCCACCCTTCCTTGCATCCACCCTTCCATGCATCCACCCTTCCTTGCATCCACCCTTCCATGCATCCACCCTTCCATGCATCCACCCTTCCTTGCATCCACCCTTCCATGCATCCACCCTTCCTTGCATCCACCCTTCCTTGCATCCACCCTTCCATGCATCCACCCTTCCTTGCATCCACCCTTCCTTGCATCCACCCTTCCATGCATCCACCCTTCCATGCATCCACCCTTCCATGCATCCACCCTTCCATGCATCCACCCTTCCATGCATCCACCCTTCCATGCATCCACCCTTCCTTGCATCCACCCTTCCATGCATCCACCCTTCCTTGCATCCACCCTTCCATGCATCCACCCTTCCATGCATCCACCCTTCCTTGCATCCACCCTTCCATGCATCCACCCTTCCTTGCATCCACCCTTCCATGCATCCACCCTTCCATGCATCCACCCTTCCATGCATCCACCCTTCCATGCATCCACCCTTCCTTGCATCCACCCTTCCATGCATCCACCCTTCCTTGCATCCACCCTTCCATGCATCCACCCTTCCATGCATCCACCCTTCCTTGCATCCACCCTTCCATGCATCCACCCTTCCTTGCATCCACCCTTCCTTGCATCCACCCTTCCATGCATCCACCCTTCCTTGCATCCACCCTTCCATGCATCCACCCTTCCTTGCATCCACCCTTCCATGCATCCACCCTTCCATGCATCCACCCTTCCATGCATCCACCCTTCCTTGCATCCACCCTTCCATGCATCCACCCTTCCTTGCATCCACCCTTCCATGCATCCACCCTTCCATGCATCCACCCTTCCTTGCATCCACCCTTCCATGCATCCACCCTTCCTGCATCCACCCTTCCTTGCATCCACCCTTCCATGCATCCACCCTTCCTTGCATCCACCCTTCCTTGCATCCACCCTTCCATGCATCCACCCTTCCATGCATCCACCCTTCCATGCATCCACCCTTCCATGCATCCACCCTTCCATGCATCCACCCTTCCATGCATCCACCCTTCCTTGCATCCACCCTTCCATGCATCCACCCTTCCTTGCATCCACCCTTCCATGCATCCACCCTTCCATGCATCCACCCTTCCTTGCATCCACCCTTCCATGCATCCACCCTTCCTTGCATCCACCCTTCCTTGCATCCACCCTTGCATGCATCCACCCTTCCTTGCATCCACCCTTCCATGCATCCACCCTTCCTTGCATCCACCCTTCCATGCATCCACCCTTCCATGCATCCACCCTTCCATGCATCCACCCTTCCTTGCATCCACCCTTCCATGCATCCACCCTTCCATGCATCCACCCTTCCTTGCATCCACCCTTCCATGCATCCACCCTTCCTTGCATCCACCCTTCCTTGCATCCACCCTTCCATGCATCCACCCTTCCTTGCATCCACCCTTCCATGCATCCACCCTTCCTTGCATCCACCCTTCCATGCATCCACCCTTCCTTGCATCCACCCTTCCATGCATCCACCCTTCCATGCATCCACCCTTCCATGCATCCACCCTTCCTTGCATCCACCCTTCCATGCATCCACCCTTCCTTGCATCCACCCTTCCATGCATCCACCCTTCCATGCATCCACCCTTCCTTGCATCCACCCTTCCATGCATCCACCCTTCCTTGCATCCACCCTTCCTTGCATCCACCCTTCCATGCATCCACCCTTCCTTGCATCCACCCTTCCTTGCATCCACCCTTCCATGCATCCACCCTTCCATGCATCCACCCTTCCATGCATCCACCCTTCCATGCATCCACCCTTCCATGCATCCACCCTTCCATGCATCCACCCTTCCTTGCATCCACCCTTCCATGCATCCACCCTTCCTTGCATCCACCCTTCCATGCATCCACCCTTCCATGCATCCACCCTTCCTTGCATCCACCCTTCCATGCATCCACCCTTCCTTGCATCCACCCTTCCTTGCATCCACCCTTCCATGCATCCACCCTTCCTTGCATCCACCCTTCCATGCATCCACCCTTCCTTGCATCCACCCTTCCATGCATCCACCCTTCCATGCATCCACCCTTCCATGCATCCACCCTTCCTTGCATCCACCCTTCCATGCATCCACCCTTCCATGCATCCACCCTTCCTTGCATCCACCCTTCCATGCATCCACCCTTCCTTGCATCCACCCTTCCTTGCATCCACCCTTCCATGCATCCACCCTTCCTTGCATCCACCCTTCCATGCATCCACCCTTCCATGCATCCACCCTTCCATGCATCCACCCTTCCTTGCATCCACCCTTCCATGCATCCACCCTTCCATGCATCCACCCTTCCTTGCATCCACCCTTCCATGCATCCACCCTTCCTTGCATCCACCCTTCCTTGCATCCACCCTTCCATGCATCCACCCTTCCTTGCATCCACCCTTCCATGCATCCACCCTTCCTTGCATCCACCCTTCCATGCATCCACCCTTCCATGCATCCACCCTTCCATGCATCCACCCTTCCTTGCATCCACCCTTCCTTGCATCCACCCTTCCATGCATCCACCCTTCCATGCATCCACCCTTCCATGCATCCACCCTTCCTTGCATCCACCCTTCCATGCATCCACCCTTCCTTGCATCCACCCTTCCTTGCATCCACCCTTCCATGCATCCCTTCCCTTTTCCCCTTCCTCCATCCTACCACAACAGGGCGGCCCCCTTCTACCTGAGCACTGGCGCATGGAGGTGGATGCAGCACTCACCTGCACCGCAGCCATCGCCCTCGGCACTGGCGGTTACGACTCCGGTTTCAACTCTGGTTACAACTCAGGTTACAACTCCACCAGCCATGCTCAGATGCCCTGGACCCCTGCCTCCGACCGTGCAATCAGATCGCTCCAGCTGGCAGCGTGCCATGCCCTCCTTGCCTCCCTACTAGCCCCGTGCAAGTACCGCCCCCCTACCTCGGCCAAGCACTTAGAATCTTCCGGCAGGGGCGGCAGCAGATGGCTACTGAAGTGGCTGCTTTCTGCTCCTTTGCTCTTCTGGCTCTAGAGCCAGTGCTCCACCCTAGGTGCCTCCCCCACTCAACCTCTATCCACCCGCTCTCGTCACTCCTTGTTCCGTCGCAACCCCCGCCTAACCTGCAACTGCAGCAGATGCAGCAGCAGCAGCTGGAGCAGCAGCAGCAGCTACTGGAGCAGCAGTTACAACAGGAGCATTTACAGCAGCAGCAGCAGCAGCAGCAGCAGCAGCAGCAGTCTTTGAGTTTGGGTGGCTCGCCAGCCCCTTCTGCCGCCCATCCCGCCGTCTCTGCCAGCCAGCCGTCCAGCTTGCCGGCCACTTCCGGCAGTATGCCGCGTCCGGCCACCCAGGCTAGCTCACTCGCCGTCTCACTCCATATCGGGGGATCGATGGCAATGGCCTTGTCTGCTGCTGTGGGAGGGGGTGCTGGAGGGGGGATGGGTGGGGGGTGGGAAGGGGGGTGGGAGCAGGGGGGATGGGAGCAGGAGGAGGGCTAGGGGGAGGAGGAGGAGTGGGGGCGTTTGGTGGGATGGGCGGAACTGCAGGTGCAGGCACCGTTGGGGGAGGAGGGTTGCCAGGGGGAATGGGCGGGGGGATGGGTGGGGGAATAGGTGGGGGAATGGGCGGGGGAATGGGGGGGGGAATGGGTGGGGGAACGGAAGCAGGTGCGGGCGGTCTTGGAGCTATGGGCGGTGATGTTTGGCCTCTAGCAGACTTGTGGACGGAGGTGGATGGGTATGGTACGTTCGGGCATGACCTCATGGAGATCGGGGGAGGGACACCTGGGGCAGGTATTACTGGTGCAGGAATGCAAGTTGCAGGAGGTGCATCTGGTGCAGGTTTTACTGGCATGGCTACAAACGGTGCGGCTGCAGGGGCAGCATCTGGCGGGTTCGGGTCCATTGAGGAGAGGCCGTCAGGGGCACCTATGGATACTGATGGTTCGGCACTTCCTGCTGCCCTTACCTCCGCTGCTCCTGCTGCTGCTCCTGTCATGCCCATGCCCCCCCCTCCTGCTCCTGCTTCTGCTCCTGCTCCTGGAGCTCCTGCTGCTGCTGCTGCTGTTCCTGCACTAGGGACAGCAGGAGCAGCAGCAGCAGCAGCGCCTGCAGTGTCGTCGCTAAGTGATAAATCAAGTGGGGCACGAGGGAAAGGAGGCGCAAAAAAAGGGGCAGCAGCAGCAGCAGCAGCAGCAGGAGCTGGAGCAGGAGGAGCAGGAGCAGGATCAGCAGGAGGAGCAGAGAAGGGAGGGAAGCGCAGGGATGTGGGGAAGGAAATTTTCATCAAGACACTCACGCCGGCTGTAGCGCGCTTCCTCAGTGCCAATGACCCCTCCTCCCCCTCCGCTTCTGCTCGTGCTTCACCCTCTACTTCAGCAGCTCCTGCTGCTGTTGGCAGCAGCGGTTCGGCTGGAAAGAGCAGGAAAGGGGCACCTAGAAATGAGCAAGGCTCTGCTGCTACTGCTGCTGCTGATGCTGGTGCTGGTGCTGCTGTGAGTGGCGCTGGTGCTGCTGGTAGTGGCTCACCTGGTGGGTCAGGAGCAGGGAGGAAAGGCAAAGAGCAGGTTCGGGCCGGAGGAGGTTCGGCACTTGCAGGTTCGGCTTGGAGAAGCCCGGGACAAGGTGGTTCGGGGCAGGGAGGCGGGGAGCAGCAGGGAGGGATGCAGTCGCATGGTTACGGGTCAAGGAAGGTGGTAACCACCATAGAGGAGGCGGACGCAGCTGGGCTCGAGGCTGCGAGGAGAGCAAGGGAGTCCCGAACCAAAGCGGCTGCCATGGCTCGGATGCTGCAGGAGTCTGGCTTCCTGGGGGGAACTGGACGCTCGGGAACTCCAGGCGTGGGTGGTGGAGGTCCGGGGGCTGCAGGTTTGGGCTCCGGTGGGGTTGCAGGGTCTGGACAAGATGCACGAGTGGGTTCTGCCGCCGCTGCTGCTGGCCCTTCGTCCGCTCCTGCTGCTGGTGCTGCTGGCCCTTTGTTCGCTCCTGCTGCTGGTGCTGCTGGTGCTTCTGGCGCTGCTGGTGGTAGCGCTGGTGGGAGGGGGAGGGTTGCATCTGGTGGTGCTGCAACGTCAGTTGCTGCCTCAACTGGATTTGATTCTGACTCTGATGGCCCCTTGCCTGAAATTGTGGTAGGGGATGACCTTGAGTTCTAGTGCCAGTATTGATTGCTGTGGCGCCTCTCTGCAACTGCTGATCTAGCTACATTAAAATAACTGGCTTGCTGTTTTCATTTACAGGCTTCAAATGGTTTCAAGCAAGCCCCTTGCTTTACCTTACCTAGGTAGGGAGCCGTAGAGTTTTGGGCGGGGCCATGCAGGGCTCCTGTGTCCTGCTGATAAATCACGTGCTGGAAGGAGTCAGATCAGGTGAAACAAGTCTACAAAATGATACCCTATTGCCAAGGAGTTAATTCTGTTCAATATTTAAACTATCTCTGCTAGCACTCCCTTAGGATGCGTAGGAAGTTAAAATTTAAATTCTTCAGTCAGAATGGCAATACACGGGAAAGTCAACGGCGCATCTAAACAACCAATTAGGAGGCACATCACTTATGGCAGAGAGCCAGCACCCTCGAGAGGGCGATGGCCAAAAAATGCGCAGCATCCTATGCCCACAGCACAGGTGTCTGCGTGATACAAATAGTGAAGCCTGGGGCAGGCCCTGTACACATCAACAGCCACCAACAGGTGCCTGCTTGAGGCGAAAACGGAGTCGGAGTCGCACAGCGTAGCAGAAAATTCCACGCGCGAACGCGTTGACGTGGTAAAACTCTCGCGAAGCCGCGCGGGCGACGCAAGAGCTGCTCGCTGTCTGCTTCTCATCATCCGCATCTCATCCAACCGAAAGTAGTCCCGCACATCATGCGGGTGCGGTGCGGTTGCTGTCTCTCTCAGCCATTGCATATGAAGTAAGCAGACGCCTTCATAATCGCCATGCTGTTTCATTGGGTAAAAACAACCTGATCGTAATCCCTCGGAAGCGTCTGCGAACGAGACAACGGGTTACACGGCACAGCCTTCAACGTCACCGCAGGAACGGCGCTGCTTCCGCTCACCGCCTTTCTCAAGGTATGCTCGGAAAACGGGGACCGGGTCGGACTCGAAGACGCGCTGCCGTTAACCGAGGAATCCAAAGGCGCGTACGAGCCAGAGAAGCGACGAGAGCTTGTGACTGACGATGGAGGGCTCAGATCTGAATCCGAAGATCGAATCGAACCGCTGGGGGTGAGTCGCCCCGACGGCGACCCGGACGGTCCGCGCTGTGTCTTTTCCATCATAAGACGGCCGTTTTGCCGGACGCAGCGGATGGAGACGGGGGAGATAGTCCGGATCTCCATTAGGGTTACGTGGCCGTTCTTCCTTACGGGATGGACTGTGACTCCGGACCGGATGCAGGGAAGCGAGCGGAAAGCTTGGCCGTGGTGGCTGCTGCTTTGTTGCTGGCGGCCGGACGTTAGTCGCGACAGGTGGAGTTTTGAGGTCGATGGTGGTTGTTGCTGCTGCAGCTGTTGGTGGTGGTGGTAGTCGGCGTATGGAGTGGGGGATTGCGACGGAGAAAGTGGCTCGGCGGACGCTGCTGCTGAGCAGCTATCGAGAAAGTCTGGGTACGACGCTTGGCGGAAACTCACGGGTTCGGCGGTGAACTCTTCGCACATGTACGAGCTGGTCAAGGCGACAGCCATAGTGGATGATTCTAAACTGGAGTTCGTGGTTGACTGAGCAAATGCTTTTTAGAGATGGAGTGAAAACAGCTGGTTGTTGGAGCAGACAGGGAAGTTGAGCAGGCAGTGATTTTCCAGGGCCAGGGTTTGAGCTTGGGAAGATGAGGTTTGGAGGAACTGGAGAAACCAGCAGAGCAGAAGCAACAAGAACGATGGTGGCTTCAACGGTCGATTGGAGAAACGGCGATGAAATACTGTAGTGAAACGCGTCGCCCTTGGGATCGTCTGCTTGCGGATGAGGGGATGGCAGGTTGCTGCCACACAAAGAGGGAATCTAGGTGTGGTTGGTGCCAGGTGTAATCACACGGATGTGAAACAGTCAGCTTCATCACCGTCCGGCCACACAGAGTTGTGGATAGGAATTAATACGCCGGTGGCCACTGCTCTGGCTAACAGGGCAGTTGCCCTAAGTTTTTCCAAATTAAGAATTGTTTTCTACTTTATTATGTTTTTAGCGTAGTAAACTCCTTTTGATTCCGTCGTCCTAACGTACTACTTATCGTATTATTCCTTCAATTAAAGGTTACCTTTCGTTGATTCCATACGAAGTACGCTTGTGGTAGGAGATCAGTTTGTAGTGGTCTATCACCCCTATACTTTTCCCACCTGCCCCTATAATTTTCCTAACTTCCTCCACTAAGCAACAAGGGGAGTTCGTTAGCGGAAGTGTTTCTTATCTTCCAAACCGCCAGAGACATAGTAGAGTCCCTGGGGATTCTAGGGCCTTTCCTTAGTTGTGGTGAAGGCCATTGACTTTGACGAATCCGTAACCTAACGGGCAAATTTTCGGCGATTCCGTCCAATAACGGGTAATTTTGGGGCCGATTCCGTGGCCTAACGGAATACCCTAGGCGTAGCAAGAGCTCTGCTGGTGGCTCGACAACAGTCTCAAGGGGGCCATTGGTGGCTTGTTGTTCACGGCTAATAATGGGGCTATTAGAAAAACAATTACCTTTTTAACGGGTATTACTAGCGTGAGCTTGTGCAGTAAGCAGGTTGATGTTTTTCCTACTCCTGCCAGACTACTCACTGATTCATTGAAGGGGAGGTACTTGTTTCTGAACCGAACATGCATCGTATTTTACCACTTTGAATTCAATATGAAGCGGAGTAACTTACACCATACCGCTTGTAAGCTCTCTGAATGGTCGACCCTGAGGCCTGGTCGTAAAAAATGTAACACGCCCTACGGAAACGCGACGGGAGGATCCACTAAGTACTCCAGCCATCTTTCGCAGCTCCTCATGGAACCCATTCATAACCAATAATGTGAAGGGAATTGCGAATACGACTGAGTGACCCAGGACATAAAAATTGGGATGTTAATAGCATTAACTGTTGTGCATGGCGTGGTTCAGTGGAGCTCCAACAATCTAGAAACTCCAAAAATCTAGAAACTCCAACCAGTCTCGAAGCTCCTTGTCCAGCGCGCGGCGCGACTACTCTATCCACAAGACATGTGGCTGTGATCAAGATGGTGGAGCGCATTTAACCGCGTCGCGACTCACGATATCTTTGGCGACGTTTCCCACCTGCCAGCGACAAGCTGCCCTGAAATGCGTCACCGCAGAGCGACGTGAGCCAGTTCCACGGGAGCTTGCGTGGCATGGGCACCTCCAATTACTTGAGGCCACGAATAAGGTTTCGTGGTCCCCGACAAAAGTGTCAGCTCCCTTGTCCTGGTGGTGGTCCCGCAGGCAGGAAGCTGCCCCAAAGTTCTGACAAGCCCAACAACGGGGCGGAAAAGCAGGAAACTGCACGGATGCAAAGCCAATGATCGGGCTCGCCGCATTCTCACCATAAACAATCCCAGGCTGCCACTGGTCACCGAAACCACAACCTCAAGATGTGGCCCACGGCAAATCGCCACGACATGTAGGTTGATCTTTACACCCAAGGCAGTCGTCAAAGGGATCAGCAACAACGCCGTCTTCACCTTTGGATGACGTGTGGTGCCAGCAACAACACCACAGTCCTACCATCCACGTCTCTTCATGGGAGTTTCTGCTAAGGGGTGCTAAGGAATCTACAAGGCATATTCTACATTTCTGCCTGGCGTATGATTGAATACAATAATTTGATTTGGGTCCCTTATCAGGCCCTGAGATATCAACCTTAAAGCCCTGGTTAGCTTAATTTCAATGGCTGTTTTTTTTCCTGTTGTCTAAGATTTTCCAGTGTTTCAAACTGCCCATTGCGACTTATTTCTCAATAACAGGTCCCTCAAAAGACTTTGTATCATTTGCACTCGCCAATGCCAATATATGGCTTGAATCTGAAACCCAAATCAGCCTAAAAAGGCTGATATCTCAGGGCCTGTCCCTTATACTCAAATCATGAGAAAATGTACACTGACCCGCTACTAAACAAGCCTTTTTAGCGTAGTGGTTAGTGGATGTCTTTCTGAGACCCACTTGCCAGCGACAAGCTGCCCTCAAATGCGCCACCGCTAAGTGACATGAGCCAGTTCCACAGGGAGCTTGCGTTGTTAAATTATATATTGTGTTATATAATTGTTAGGCTTGGTAGGTTACCGAACTCTACTGTAGAGGGTACAATCCCCTCCTTGTATGCCTCTCTTTCTAGTCATCCCCTTTTTCTCTCGTCAAATCTCTCTCTCCTAGTTCTACTAGTTCCTAAAACCTCACGCCACTTTCATGGCGTCTTAGTTCCTAGTTTGACATGGTTTCAGAGCGGGTCGTTTCTCATAGGCCCGCTCCCCACGCTTCCGCCTCGTACCTGTTCGTTGCTTGCCACCGTCGCGGCCTTCCGTTTTCTTTCCGCCGTGGCAGCTTCTCCAAGATGCCGCGTCGGCTTCTTGGTGCGGCCGTCGCAGCACGCAGCCGTGACGGCGCTGTCGGCGTCGTGTTGCAGCCGTCTCGTCTCGACGTGCTGCCGTGGCGTCGCGCCGTTGTGGCGTCGATGCCCAGCCGTGGCATCACCGTCGACGACCAGCTGGCGGCGTGACGGCGCTGTCGGGCTGCCGTCGCAGCGTCGACGTCCCGCTGCGGCATCGTCGACGCCGCTCAGTGACGGCGCCGTCGGGCTGCAGCCGACCGCGAGACGCCTGTGACCCCGCCGCCGCCTGCACGCCAGCTGCCCTCCTTCCCCTGCGTCCCCTCCTCCTCGCCACAGCCTACGCCTGGCGCGTGGGGGACCCCATCGCCGTCGAGTTTGGACGTGCCGCCGAGAGGGCGGGGGCCGCTACAGTCGCCTATGACGTTGAAGCCGCCGCCGCCGTCGCCGTTGCAGTAGGCCGTTGCCGCCGCACGCCGTTGCCGCCGCCGCTCTCATCACTGTCGTGGTTACTGCCATTGCCATCTTACAGGCCATGGGGGATGGCCCCACCGGAGTAGACGTGGCTGATGCTTGGAACGGGGTGCTAGGTTAGGGGGTGTGGGTGTGTGTGGGCTTGTGACTACCAAGCCTAGGGGGTGTGTTAAATTATATATTGTGTTATATAATTGTTAGGCTTGGCAGGTTACCGAACTCTACTGTAGAGGGTACAATCCCCTCCTTGTATCCCTCTCTCTTTCTAGTCATCCCCTTTTTCTCTTATCAAATCTCTCTCTCCTAGTTGTACTAGCTCCTAAAACCTCATGCCACTTTCATGGCGTCTTAGTTCCTAGTTTGACATGCGTGGCATGGGCACCTCCAATAACTTGAGGCCACGAATAAAGTTTCTTATTAGGGACAAAATTGTCAGCTCCCTTCCCTGATAGTGTTGGTCCTGTAGAAGTATACAGTAATTGACAGCGTTACCACTTATGCATTCATTATATTATAATTAGACTGTACTAGTAGCGTGATACCTTCCATAGAAGGACGCGCATGATGACGTCAGCAGTAGCGGGTCAACGTGTAAACAGTCGGTTCGCGCGTATAGTCACCCGAAGGGTCACGCCACTTTCAGTCACACGAACAGTCACTAGTCATTTCGCGCGAATAGTCGCGATACACTACCGTACTCCCTCGGATAAGCGCCCCTAGGGGCGTTTAGGGGACTGGTTTGAAATCGCTGGGGGTGTTTATTCGAATAAATTTTATACTCTCATGGGCGTATAAAAGAGAATATATGCACATTGTCTATTTTACATAATGTTGTAACTTTTGATTTATTTCATGCGACAAGTAAGTTTTTCTACGGAGATTTCCAGGTCAATCGAGTTGAAAGGTCCTGACGGCAATGTGCCAGCCTAGAAACAGGCGTTCCTGGCGCGAATCTTGCTGGTGCTAAGTGCCAAAGGGTGCAACTTGCGGTTCTCGCTGGCACTCAGCAAGAGATTTCGCTATTACCTGAATTCGTTTATTCGATCTGGTGCAGTGTTTTACGAAATAAAAGGGGGGCGTATACGGTGCCTTTTGCCCCTGAAGATGAATCTGCTGGGTCTTTGACCTTTCATGGGCGATCTGCACAAACACAGCAACAACAACCACAGCAACAACAATATCGAATGGCAGAAGAAAGACCATGTGTTGTAGAAGCTGTCGTAAATCAAGCGGACTTTCTAACAATCTCAAAGTTGAAGACTTCAACTTACTTTGATGGCCGCGACTTCTATACTTGGGGATTCGATTTCAAACTCCTCACGCAATCTTCTGGTATTTGGGGATATTTCGACGGTACAATCTGATCTCCAAATACAGGATCGACCGAAGAACAGGCGCGTTATTACAAGTATTCGCTCATAGCCTATACACTACTGGTGCGGAATATCTCACCTGAATAGTAGTAAGGAGTCCGGTGCTTCAAACCTTCACTCGCTCCAGCCTTCTACGCCTGGGATTACGTGCAAAGGTTGTATCAAGCACAAGATTCCGTTTCACTGAGCAAGCTGTTAACTTAACTTACAGCAATGCAAATGCTTCCGGGAGAAAAAAGTCGGCAGCTACATCAACAGGTGCAGAAATATTTGGGACCAACTCGGCAAGTGCGGAGGAAATCTCAGCAATGAGCTATTCGACTATTCTCTGGCTGGACTTGGATCCGAATGGAGGCAGTGCAAGTCCCTTCTTCGTTCCCATGGGAACATCTCTGATGGCAAAGCAGAAACTTTACTTTATGCTACTCTGATGGCAAAGCAGCAAGACTTGGACCTGTACAACGCGAAAGGAGGCAAAGCTAAGTGTAGGTTAAGCTTTTATA